TTTTAATGGCATCTTTTTACTAAGCAGCCTATTATTAATTAAGATTTTATGAATTAAAATTTTATGAATGTTGCCGTGTAATTTAATAGGCCTTGAGAAATTAACAGCAACTTTTAATTTAAGTAAACTTAAAATAATCTTCACAAAAACTATAAATTGCATATTCATAAAATATCAATTGAATATATATATATATATATATACACACACACACACACACACACATTCATACATATATAAATATTGCTTTGTCACAAAATACAAACAACAGAACAAGAAAATATTAGAAACAAACATATAAATTATAAAATATAAATAAATACAGTTAAAAAAAAATTCCAGGTATCTAAAATATTTTGTAAATATTAATATTTTTTTTTAAGTAAATCAAATTAAAAATAAATTTTTTTTTTTAAATTACATTACAAATTGAACATCAAACTCTGTTGGTCACGTTGCTAATAAACAAACAAACAAATAAATTAATTAATTAAAACAAGTTTGTCAAGTAATTATTTTCAAGTAATGGTACAAGTAAACAAAGAAAATAAATTTAAAAAATCAAGCAAATGAATGTTTTTCCAAGTAACCAGCAACTTTAGAAAGAAAAGAAAAAAAAAACACAAAAGTAAATCAAATTACAATTACAAATACTTAAATTATATTATAAATCGAACATCAAACTCAGCCATCAAACAGCATGTGTGACGTTTGCTACAAGAAACACTTACAAAGTACAAGTACAAAATATAAATACATTTACTAATATTCACAACTCACAGACTACCCAAAATAGACTAGCCACATTTCTGCTCAAGATCACAGTAATTCTTGTGAGAGGTGCACAACAACATTTTAGTCACCAAACGTTTATAGGCAATAAATGGAGTCTTCAGAAATGATCCCAACCTAATCAGTGACCATCTGCCTCCACCCTGTGTCTCTGACTGGTGAAATTCCCACTGAGAAGTAGATTACTGGTGATTACCTGCATGTGTCTGAGAGTGAAATGTCACCCAAACATCCCAGCGGGACGAGGGTGAACACAGTGACTGCAGTCCATACAGATGTGTGTCTGTCTGAGCGCCAATGTGAGCAATGTTTACAGAATACTAATGCATTGTGGGAGTTCCAGCAGCACAGTCCGGACTGATGAGGGGTTAAACGAGCCGCTAATGAGCCAAATCAGAGAGAGAGAGAGACAGAACGAGACAAAGTCATGAGTACTGTAAAAAAAGATTGTGATTTTAACAGTAAAAGACTGTAAAAATGCTACAGTAAAAACCTGTTAACTGGTTAACAGTAAGTTTCCATACTATATACGGTGAATAAATGTAATTATATTTAATGTAATTTCACAGTAAAATACTGTTAAAAATACGGTTTTTGGAAGTGAAAAAGTCATTGATTGTATAATTTACAGTGAAAAACCGCAAATTGACACTCCCAGAATTCCCTGCATGACAATTCATATTTGATGTTTTTTTTGTTGAAATAACATGTTTCTTCTTAGTTTTTTCTTAT